TCTCCCCCTTTTCTCTCTCTCACTCTCTCTCTCTATTTTCTGGCWTCYATGAGCTGAGAAGCTTTCCTTTACCATGCCCTTCCACCACCATGATGTTCTGCCTCCCTTCAGGACCAAAGCAATGACCATGAACTGACCATGAACTGAGACCTCTGAAACCATGAACTGAGAACTCTGAAACCATGAGACAAGTTTGTTTGTTTGTTTGCTCAGGTGTTTTCAAAGCAATGAAAAGCCGATTAACACAACCAAGTAGCATCACAAAGTAGGGTACATCATCCTGTAACCAGTAAACTTGAACATTGGAGGGAACTTCAAAGATCAGTTGGCCCACCTCATTTTCACCAGATGCATAAGATCAAGGGATGCCAAATGTTCCACCCAAGATCACATAGAACAAGTTTCCTCATCTGTAAGTACAGACTTCCTTCCTCCCACTCCACTATGGGACTGTGGAATTTTAGATACTACTTTCAAGTAAGAAGTCTCTCCTTTCTTATTGAAGTTTTGGTATTATTTCTCAACCTTCTGCCAGTGGTATTAGAACTTGGCTACTTAAGAACAATTTTCCTGTTACATGAATTGCTTTTGAAAGTGACCTGAATGTGAAGTGCTATTTTTAGCCTTTTAAAAATACATTTTTTCTCCCATGTAGTTATAGTTCTCTTCTCTATGGTCAAACTCCCCCAACCCCAATGGGGAATGTTTATTTTTTCTGCTTTGACCTACTCACTTCCTCAATTTCCTATTGGAAAAATACAAAACCACATTGTTTTAAGGGATATTACTTTTTGAATTTTCTGAAGAGTCAAGCACAGTTGACTCAGATGAAGGAACTAAAGTTTGTAAAGCCAAGGGGTCATGTTTGTCTTTCGATGAATGCACATAATTTCAATTAGTGTTATTCTCATGTTATGCAAGAGATTAATTTTGAAAGAACGAAGAGTATAGTAGAAGAAGGGAAGAAAAAAAACCATTTTCTCTCCCAAACTGCATCTTTGTGCTTTCATGAAGTGCATTCTTTCTTTTTTGGGGAAGGGAGTACCAGGGATTGAACTCAGGGGCACTCACCCACTGAGCATAATCCCCAGCCTTATTTTTATATTTTATTTAGAGACAGAGTCTTAYTGAGTTGCTTAGTGCCTTGCTTTTGCTGAGGCTGGCTTTGAACTCTTGAGCCTTCTGACTCAGCCTCCTGGGCCTCTGGGATTACAGGCGTGCGCCACTGCGTCCGGCTTGGGGTGCATTTTCCGATGATCATTGCTTATGCTTACGCTAGGAGGCTGATCCCGGATCACAGGAAACACATTCTAGAGGGTCCAGTTGGATAGAGAAATCCATGAGACATTGTGTCGAGAAGCATCTGGACTCAAGGGACATTTGTCCAAAATGCCAGTGGAGGCTGTGCACATGCCTCTCAAGTGCTGTTCCTAGGTCTGGATTTTCATTTTCCTGATTTCCTAAGAACAGGACCTCTATCATGTGCTAGTCTCTCTCTGATATTTTGATATACCTTATAGTCTTTTTATTACTTTAATAAAGAGATTGACCTATCATATGCTATCTATAGGTACAGTCACATGATGGTGTGTGAGAAGGCTTACTAGTATGACTCCTCTGAGGACATGTTGCATGGTGACATGCAGGGAGTGCCATACCACCTATGCTTCTGCTTAACAGGGAATCATTGCAAGTCGTACTCCAAATAGAGAATTTCCTTTTCTATCAAAAGAAGTTGAATATAGTCTTCTCCATTCTAGCCGAGTGGCAGAGAACACAGGCATAGTACAAAGAAACAGCTGGCAAAAATATAGCTCAGGGCCCAACAGACCCATAGAGAGAAAAGCTCCAGGAAGGTGAGCAACTAGCTGTGGTGTGCTCGACACCTTTGAAGTAAAGCAGATAAGGCAATCCTTAGCGTCAACCAGAGCAAGTTGCATAAACAGACTGAGTAATATACTTAATATGAGGAGGTGCTCAGTCAACACAGATTAGCTCGGAACAGAGAGGATTTTTACATAGGCCACACTTAGGGGGCCACTTCCTTTGTGAGACAGTGCTGTGGTTTGATTGTCTCTCTCAAAAGTTCATGTGTTGGGAACCTAATCACCAGATGCATACGTTGATGGTATTTGGGGGTGGACCTTGGGGACACAATGGAGGAGTGATGAGGTCATGAGGGCGGGACCCTGGGATGGCATTAGTGGCTTTATAAGAAGTGGAAGAAAGACCTGGGCTAATAGGCTGTCCTGCTCTAGGCACGTGATGCTCATTTACATGTGAGGATTCAGTAAGAAGGTCCTCATCGGATGCCAGTACCTTGATATCACACTTCCCAGCCTCTAGCACTGTGAGAAATAAATTTCTTCTTTTTAAAATAAATGATTCCAGGGGCTGGGATTGTGGCTCAGTGGTAGAGYGCTTGCCTAGCACCTGCGAGGCCCTGGGTTCGATCCTCAGCACCACATAAAATAAATAAATAAAATAAAGATATTGTGTCCAATTACAAACTAAAAAATGAATATTAAAAAAAAACCCCACGATTCCATCTGTGGTATTCTGTCATTACAGCAGAAAGTGGACTGACAGAGTCAGAATTTTTCTGAATAATGGTTATAAGAGTTACAAAACAGCTTTTCCTTCTTGCTTCTAAAGAAGATCCTGCTGCCCAAAGGGCTCTGATCAGGATGGAGGTGGAAGGTGGTGAAGGAGTGGAGAGCTAAAGGGATTTTCACTGGCCAGGGAGCAAACCAAGTGCCAAGATAGAGGTGCAGATGGAGAAAGGAGGCTGATCTCCCTCTTGTCTCCCAGTAAAAATGAAAAACCACTGAACAGAGTATTCTTGGGGGCAGGAGCTAAGTTTGGGTAGAATTTGGGGGAAAATTAAATTTAGGAGAGGCAGGACAGCTACTGGTGTGTGTGAGCTGTATGTGGAAGCASAGGAGGAAACGAGTTCTCATCCTACCTTTTGCATTCTTTGAATGATTCCAGTCAAGATGTAAACTACTTGATCATTAATATTAAAATTCAGACTGGATTTTCTTCATGAGGTCAAAAGGTGGCCAAGATTTATAGGATTCACGTGTAAATTTAAGCTTCCACTGAAAGATCAGGAAACTGTGTTCTTCTCATTTAAAATTCTGCTATTATCATAGAAGCCTTGATTAGAGAAACTTCCAGATATTTTTATAAATGGATAACTGGATAGTCATTTCCCTAACCCACAGCTGTGTCCCATATCTAAGGGACAAAAGCTAGAGGGAGGCACATTTCTGTACTCTGAATGCAAGCAGCACTTAAAGGCTATGGGCTGTGGGTAGGAGGGCCCTCACCCATCACGTCACTGTCCTTGTTACAGTTTGACCCAAGTTCCATGATGACACATTATACTACGTCTAATTAATCACATGACTTGGTGAAGTTCCTTAATCTGTTGACTTAAACTTAATGGCAAAATACAAAAAAAAATAATACCACTTACCTCACAAGGTAACTGAATGACACCCTCTCTACAGGACACCCAGTACAGTGCTTGGCATGTAGTTACTTTTTATTTTTAACAAACTTTACTTCATGCTGTCCCTATTCTTGGTATCATTAGTGTTTTTTCCACTAATGACAAGAACTAGGTTTTTGGTTAAGTTTGAAAATGGGACCTAAGCTTAAAAACACATCTCCTCTGCTTTCCTTATATTCACAGATGATTCCTGTAGAATTATGGGTATGTTTTCTCAAAGATTTGTTATCTTTTCCAGCTTTTTCTTTATCACCTTTCATCACTCAAATCTCCTAGGCACTTTGAGGTTTGGGCCCCTTCTCTTAGACCCCAAAAGGAGAGGGCTGTTGATCACTTCAGTGAGTGCCTTCCCTACAGAGCCCTTTTGTGTGAGACTCGCCCTTGACACACCTAACTTACATTATCATTATCAGTACATTGTCATGTCTGCCTTACTTGATCATATTTGACTGCAGAGGCAGGACAAACCTTATTCACCTTCAAAATAACCTATGCATCTGTGCCTGCTTTTGTGATAAGTATTAGTAAGTATTTTAAAGTGAATGAGTAAAGATAATAAACCACAAGATTATTGACCATTTGCAATGTCCTTTGTTAAACAAGACAATTGTGTGTTGAAACTCTAAATGCTTGTCCTTTGGGTGTTCCAGCTCTTTACAGATTGGGGTGTCAGGCCCCAGGCACACTTGCTACAATTTCCATGGCTCATCTCACGGGGCTTCCTCTCTCWCAGGTGTAGCTACCTCTGTCAGAGAGGGCGGGTTGTGTCCTGCTAAAGACCTACAGGCAAAGTTCTGTCCTTTCTTCTGTTTTACACAGGAAGCCATTCATATGCTGTATTCCTTTTACCTTTTAGTTTTTATACATAGCTAGGGGATGTTGAAAGAGATATTCCTCTCACCCTGTGACTTTCTACCATGTTGGGACACTTGCAACGTCTCCCTAGCATCACAGGTGTGCCTGCTGGGCTCAGGCCCTGGGGAGCATAGCCAGGCCCTAGGTCCACACAGGCCCAGTCACGCATTGCAGATAGATGCAGTCTCCTACCCACAGCACACAGCCTTGAAGTGCTGTTTGCATTCAGACTGTACATCAGGTGCAGTCTGTTCACAAACCCAGAGCATTAAAATCAGGATGATTCCAGGACCTTGAGTCTTGCAAATTAATTTTAGCCATTACCTTTGTAAATATAATCAAAATCAGTGATGTCTTTTGAGTATTTTCCATTCGTAGTAAACCACAGGTCCCCCCCTCTCCCATGGCAGGAACAGTCCCTTCTCGCCAGCACTGACATATGATGCATGTTCCATCACACTGCATGAGTGATGGCCTCGATGCCAGTGGCGGATTGCATTGCATGTCMTTCATATTCTATAAGCAATTCATTAATAATTCTGGTTTCAGCATCTTGGGAGTGAGCCCCCCTCCTGTTTTCTTTCATACAGTGATATACTGAAGGGTTTGAGAGTCTCCAACACCATACCTGCTTGTGGAGTCCAGAAATCCAGTAACACCAGAGCGTTGGGGCCAGTCAAGCTCATTGGTAATTGCCATTGGCAAACTGAAGAAGGAATTCTAAAGAAAAATAATAATCAATTAGAAATTATCCAAATGGCCATTTGTTTTTCTACAGGTAGTAAGTCTATCTATGTCCTGGGCATTGTTGCGTGGCTATCTTTCTGTCTCTCCCTCTCTTTAAGAGCCTTTGGCTTCTGAGGCAGATGACTCAACTCTGACCTTCACCTGAGAGTTCACAATGATCAGCGTCACCCACGAACTAACTGGCTTCCAGTCAGTTCCTGTGAAACACATGGAACATAAGGAGTCTTTCTRAGAGGGATGCTTCATTGACAGGTAAACTTCCCACTCTTAAATTTTCTGAGATTCCCTCATTTTTCAGTTTAGATCATCAGATGATTGCCATAAAGGTAATTGCCCTGAAAAAATAGTACCCAAGACCCCTGAAAAAATGCCTTTGCTGGGTTTAAACTGTGCCGTTAGTCAATAAGATGGTGCCTCTGCCCATTCTGGCGGCCTCAGACACTTTGGGGAATTGAATGATGGTTTATATCCCCATAAAGATGCACCTGAAGCCAGTATGGTCTGTAATTTTGGGAGGTTTATAGACCCCTCTATGGTTTGAATATGGTTTCTCCCCTCTGAAACGCATATTGGGGTTGAATCCCCAGAGCTGGGTATTAAGAGAACAGAAACGTCATCAGGCTATGGGGCTTAGAAGTGGGATTTTTAAAAGGTGATTAGATAAGGTCATCAGGGTGGAGCTGTGTGATGGGATACTGTTGGTTTTATAAGAAAAGGAGAGATCATGTGTTCTCTGTCTCTCACCAGGGGATGCCCCGCACTCCCTCAGGAATCTCTGCAAGAAGAACGACATCAGATACAACCTCTTAATCTTGGATCTCCAGAACCACGAGCCAAAATAATCTTCTTTCTTTTTAACTTACTAAATCTGTGGAATTGTGTTATAAGCAACAGCAAATAGACTAATGAATAGCCCCTGCAACTAGTGTACAGTCAAGAACCCCTGACTTGGAGTGTTGACAACAATAGGATTCATTTAAGTCACATTTCTATGGCTGGTGCAAAAATCACAGGAGAAAAATGTGGTCAGCTTTGACTTCTTATTGTTCCTTTTATAAGTGCTGTCTGGGACAAATCCCTCCTGTGGTCTAATTTTTTTTTTTTTTTGAAAAAGCTTATCTACTGGTATGTTTGGAATAGCTTTGTTAGATTTAGTAAGTAAAAGTACAGGATGCTCAGTTAAATGTTAATTTCTGGCAAAGAATGAATAACATTTAGTATATGTATGTCTCTTGCAGTTGTTGGGACATAGTTATACTAAAAAAGTTTATCAGTTGCTTATCTAAAATTCAAAATGAATTGGTTGGTCTGTGTTTTATTGGGGAATCTTACTTTGGTTAGAAATCCTAAAAGTCAATATTTCCTTTTAGTCTTGACTAACAGGAAACCTGCCTCTCTCAGTATTTAAATCCTGTCTCTTTTTTTGAGGTAAACATGAAAACTGAAGTCCTCCTTTAATGATAATTTAAGACTTAAATTAAGACAAATCACAGACTCCTGTCTCCTGCTATTTTTCCACATCCATGATGGTTCTTCCTGTGTCCTATGGAGACGGACTTCGGAGGGAAAGTTAAGCCCCTTGAAAAATGCCTCTTTATAGTTCTTTCTGATGACAAAGAAGTACATGCCTGTTATAAAAACTCAAATATTGTCAGGTGTGTGGTCACACACACCTATAATCTCAGAGTCTTGGGAGGCTGAGGCAGGAGGATGGTGAGTTCAAAGCCAGCTTTAGCAAAAGCGAGGCGCTAAACAACTCAGTGAGACCCGGTCTCTAAATAAAATACAAAATAGGGCTGGGGATGTGGCTCAGTGGATGAGTGCTCCTGAGTTCGATCCCTGGTCCCCCCTCTAAAACCTCAAATATTATAATAAATTACAATATAGAAATAGAGAAAGGACAATATAGAAGCCCTTCATTGCCATTCCCAAGAGGATAGATACTGTGAGATAGATACTGTTAAGGTACTGTCCCATATATACAGTATGTATAAAATAAAATTTACCATAATCTTACACTACCATCATCTTTACACTTGGAAAAACTCAAGCAATCTTCCTACCATCAGAGTGTTAAAGAATTAGGACTCCAAATAAATAAAATAAAAATATTTACTTCTCAATTGTGGACTATTATGGGTTGAATTTTGTCCCCTCTCCCCTAAAGATATGTTGAAGTCCTAAATCCCAGTACCTTGGAATATGACCTTATTTGGAAATAGAGTCATTGCAGATATAATTGGTTAAGACTAGGTCAATCTGGAATAGGATGGCCCCCTAACCACAGCTGACTGGTCCTTATAAGAAGAAGAGAAGGAGACATGAAAATTAGATACAGGGAAGGCCACATGTTGGTGGAGGCAGAGATTGGAGCTACATTCTGGGAAGCCAAGGAATACCGAATGCCAGGCCATCACCAGGAGCTGAAGAGGGATGGAGCAGATTCTCACTCAGATCCCTTGGAGGAACCAACACTGCTAGCATCCTGGTTGGGATTTGTAGCCTCCAGGTCTCAGAGACAATAAGGATGTATTTTGTTGTTGTTGTTGTTGTTTGTAGTCACCCAGATGGTAGTTTTTTGTTAAGGGGGTCCTAGGAGACCAGCACATGACCCAAGTTGGACAAGTCCCTTCTAATTCTTATTACTCAGGGAACTAAGATTTGATTACCTTGTCAAAATAAATCATATGACATATACATGTGTTCCAATGTAGCAGTTATCTATAATGCCTGCGAGACCTCCTGGGTCTCTGCTCCTCCTTTCTCGCTTGACTCCTTCTATGTGCGGAAATTTCCATCCTTATCATTCCCGAAGCATGCTTCCCAGGGGACTGGAAGCAGGAAGAGTGGTCAGGAAGGAGGGCTTCCTAGGAGATACTGTCATAAAATGTGACATCTCCCCTCCAAAGGAGAGGAGGAAGCTCATTGAAAGGAGGCCTACAAATGATTTCAGAAGTCCCTGGAGTCCCAGTGACTGTGACTTTCACTCCTCAGGAGTTTGGCCCCCACCACTTTCTGCTCAAAACTCCACCTCATTGCTGTGGCTCAGCCTCTCTCTGTTCTGGTTCCTGCTTTTCCTGCCACTTCCCCTGCCCTTTATCTTATTCCCCCACCCATCTTTCTGCTTACAATGTGTGTTTGCTGTAGGAATAAAGAATATTCAGTTCTGCTAGAGAAGACAAGAAAAACAAATAGAATGGATAAAACTTATAAGCTGTGTTAGGCAGAGATAGTGAGTAAGCAAGAGGATTTTGAGGTGTAGGCAGAATTTATGAGCTGTATCAGGTCAGTCAGTAACCCGTAAAACATGTTAAAAGTTAAGAGAACAATACACTCCTTCCCCACCCCACTCCTTTACCTCCTTCTCTGTTGTCTGCACAGTGGTGCCTGCAGATTTGGAAACCAGACATGGAACTAGGGTTCTGAATCTGGATGGGATTGTTCTCCCTTCTACAGGAGGAGGAGAGATAAGAACGCTGCTCGCATAGGGAGGCATGTCTAATTTCCTCTGTAGTCTGAAATATTAGTGATATTAGTGGTCGTTCTGAAATGTGCCAGTAAAGTAGGGAAAGGAATCAGATCTGTTCTCCATGTTGGACTCTACAAGTACATTAAAACTCATCATTTGGACACAGTGACATTGGACATGGGCTCTATTCTCCATGCAGCTCCCATTCTCAGTCAAGTGAGTGATAAAGTTCTTTTCTCCGTTGGGGGAGAGAAGATATTGAGGGGTAGGGAAAGTGAGGAAATGGCAGGTAACTGTCTTTGAAATTGCCTCCAGTGTTTTCTCAACTCAATTCCTTTGAAGGAAATGGATCTCAACTAACTGGGAGATTCCTGGAAGCCTCGATACTATCTGGGAATTCTCAGTCAGCGCTGGAAGCATCCCTGGGGTAGGATTTACACTGTACTGGACAGCGGCTGGTGCTGAATCGCAGCTGGGCCCGGGGTGAGTTTGCATTCCGCAGCTATAGCCCTGGAAGGCCTGAGCAGGCCAGCTGCATAGGTTTATCCTGCTGATTTGATTAACTTCAAAATAAGGCAAAGCTGTGTTTTCCTGACTGAATGTCTTAGACTTCACTTACAGTGTCATGGTGAGGTTTTAGTGTTTCTAACTGTGCATATCAGGGAAGAGGTAGCTTTAACAGTATTCTTTGTCTCAGTATCTCTGATGACTAGAGGAATATTACCTTATCTACTTCAACAGCACTGTTGGGAAAATCAAAAGACGYAGTCAGCAATGGATTGACAAGTCAGAAGCCCTGTACTATGAAAAGGATTGAGGTTAAGATGGACCACCTGGTGTTCCTTTCCAAAAGGATTGTCCCCGGTTTAAGTGTAGTGTAGTTTATGATCAGATAACAGAAAAGATTTGAGCAGACTAATAGCAGCCTTGACATATCTTTTCTTTGTTAGTAAAATCAGTAGATAATAATGGAAAGTAACAGCCACTAATAGAAAATGTTTTATAGAGCCTAACCAAATAAATAGATAAATAAATAAAAATAAAAAAGGAAAAGAATGTTTAAGTCACATTAAATACTAAAAGCCTTATTCACGCAACATTATACCCAAGATATTTCAGGCATTTAAGGCAAGAAAAATGCAAATTAAGATTTCCCTGATCAACTCCTACTTATTGCTCTTGAGCATTCATGTTCTTAGGAACTCATCTTAAATGTACATATGTGTAAAGATTTAATATTTACCTAGAAAAAATTTTCAAGCTTAAAGAGCCTAAGCAACCCAAAGAGGGTGAGGTCAACTATTGAATTTCCCCAAATTTTTCCACTTTTATCAATGCCATAAATGTGTTTTTATGTCACCATCAGCACACATATGCTATTTTGTGTAATATTTTCCTTTAATATTACTCTGTGTATGTGTGTATGTATTTCCATGCATTGAGAAAATCCACTGGCGCGCTCTCTCTCTCTCTCTCTCTCTCTCTCTCTCTCTCTCTCTCTCTC